AAATTAATGGCCACTGTGTAGATTGTTTTCTCACCCCCCCATGATATGATTACCAGTACATAAACAGGAGTGTTACTGAATGACATTCGTTCTCTCTCATCCTTTTTTTAAAAGCCTGATGTCTTTTATGCATAAGATGCTGAATCTTACAACATGAAAGAAATAAGCCGTACTTAAGGGGTAATTGTTAATATCTCAGCTTGACAACATGGTTGCTTTTTTTTTTTGTTAAATAAAGTGGCTCCAACATCTCATAGTTTGCATTCAGTTATTTACATGTTTATCCTTTTTAGTCAATATGTTGTGCTGCTATATCCTGTTTTATGACACAGATTGGGACAAACCTTACCCATTAGGGGAAGAATTAACTAGGACTGAAACAATTAATCAGATTAATTGTGAATAATCGAACATTGAAATAATCATCCACTAATTTAATAATCGATTCATTGTTAGCCGGAGTATAGAGACTAAAACATGCCTTTAGCTGACAGAGCGACCCACTTAGAGCATTAACTCTACCAAGATTGTAAAAACATACCGGTATGTAAATATTTGGCATTTAATATAAAAAAAAAAAATAAAAAAAAACATTTCCGTCTGTCAAAATGCTCTATCCAGAACTCCTCAAGTGGAAAACCTTGAGTTTCACCTGATTTTAGTTCTTCAAAGAATCTTTAGCTATCCGATTTTTAATCGATTAATCAAAAAAATAATAAACATATTTAATCGATTAGCCAAAAATTTGTTAATTGCAGCCCTAGATTTTACTCGTTTTTTTTTTTTTTTTTTTACCTAGTTCATGCTGATTTTATCCTACTGTGGTATGAATGGATCCTTTGGCTAAAAGCAACTCATAACCATTTACTCTCTGCCACAACAAGGGAATCTATAACAATGAGAGCATAGGAAAATGTTCAGTATTTTATTTTTAAAGCATTTTTAATGTATACAAAACCCCCAGATACATAAAAAAATATAATCAAACTTTAAAGCATACATTTCAACAGCATGAGATAACACTGGAAAATGAGGGTAAAACATTTTGCGAAGAGGTTGAACATGCACATATGAGCTTTTCCATTAGTTTAGTAACTAGAACCGGAGCATTTATTTTTTATAGTTGAAATGCATAACATTGTTAGAATTCTATATATTGTAAGTACATCCTAATCAGCTGTATTAAACCTTCAAATGCTGGTTTCTCAGTCCGAATCAGGCATTGAGATCCTCCACAATAGGGTAAACCCACCAGAGGCGATTGCTGAAGAAGATGGATCTAAAACACATTCATGGTAAAATTAGTTGAAGAAAAAAATATATGGTAGGAAAGACTAAACAAGCAGTGCAGATAACTGCAGCTTTGAGAAAAAAGAATTAAATATCAGGGGATCTTCCCAGTGAATGTCTGTATTTGGCACATGAGAGCCTCTGGGCACTCAGGTCGGGTCTTTCCTGACAAAGTGACGTCAGAGGGTTCTTACCTGAGAAAAAGGACTGGGCTGTGGTCAACAGCTGATGAAGGGATGCTTAAAAATTCACAACCCATCCTGCAGTACCGCCACGCTCCTGATTTGATTGTTCTACTTTGTTTAAAATCAGAGGCGTCAAGTAACGGAGTACAAATACTTCGTTACCTTACTTAAGTAGAAATGTTGGCAATACTTTACTGGAATAATTATGTTTTAGACAACTTTTTACTTCTACTCCTTATTTATTTATTATTATTATATATATTTTTTTGCAATTATCTCTACTTTCTACTCCTTACATTTTATAAATAGACTAGTAAGTTTTGTTTCATTTAAGCTTATTTTCGTTATGGCCTGTTGGTATTTAAAACAAAATAAAAATAAAATCTATCTAATAATTATTTATACATAACATTTCTTTTTCTGAAATTTGTTGTTCACCACAAACCAAAATAAATGGTTTTTCAAGACGATGCAAAGCTAAATGTGAAACTGTTATGATTAATTATAAAACTGAGAAAATGAAGTCTAAGGAAGTTATCATCCAGAATTGTAGTAATTGTGTGAGACTCAGAGCGGTTTTTTGCCTTTATTTTCTTTTGTTTAAAGGCCAAAACAAACATGAAAGCCTGAAAATTATCTTAAGAAATCACTATTAAAGACGTGCAAGTGGAACCTAGGCTTGATTCTTGAAAGCTTTTTATTTGTATCTTTGGTCATTAAATATGTAGCCAGCAGATGGCGATCCCTGACAATACATTATTTACAGCTTCCAGTCTATCTCTTGCTTATTATTAAACGTTTTTATTCCTTTTTGCTCCAAATATAGTTATTATTCTAGACTGGAACGAGAAACAAACTTTATGTAGGGATAGAAGGCCAAACATGATCCAGGTATTACATTTATTGTTGTTTGTTAATGGGCTTTATTTCATTCATCTAAATATATATTTATTTTAATTTGGTTCATACAAATAATGAGATTCATTTAATGTGATCTGGGCCTTTGTCTTGTTTCAGGGCAGCAGTGATTTTCACCAAGGAACTCACATGGATGGGATTTCTACCCAATTTTTCTGATTGCTAAATTATTGCACCAACGTTAACAGACGAGCTGAATGCTACTTTAGATGCTGGCCTGGTTCTTTATAATCTCCTGGATGAGTCTTCTGTGAGGATCCCTTGGAGCAAATATTGGTACAGTAACACCCCCCCTCCTCTGGTCTGCTCTTTATTATTTTTTATGATCTGCTTTATGTTGTAAACCAGGCTCTATTTGTCCTGCAGTGATCCGGCCTTCGCTGTTTAATCATTTAGCCAGAGAACAATGACCTTTATGATTGCTTTTTACTCTGATAAACAATCTTAATCCAAGAGAGAGAAGAAGATTTCACAATGTGTCTGATCTGAAATATTAAAGTAAAAAAAAAAAAAAAAAAACTCTTCAAAGGGAATCAACCTAAATGATAATTTGTTTTTCAGCACAGGAAACCTTTTATAATTTATATTTAAACAAATAAATACCAAAATTTGACTAAAGTTTAAAGCTAAAAGGAAACCTGTCAAAAAATACTGAGGAAAAGAAAAAGTGTGTGAAAATGTTTACATTTAGTGAAGCCATAGCTAACATTGGTGCCAAAAGCACCCGCCTCTATGAAGGAAACCACACCAAACAGTCGGAGAGCCTGTTTCTGTCGTTGCCGTGGAAATCCTTCAGTCCCATGATGCCGTTCTTTCAAACCTGCTGCTGTTTACAGTAAACCATAGAGCTGAGACAGAAGTGACAGAAATAGAAAGACGTGATCTAGAATCCCAATGAGCCCATGAGCATCTGAGTTCATTAGATCTAGTGGGTGAAGCTAATCAAGCTTTTCTATGATGAAATGATGGCGCAGATCAACAACAAACCTGCCGTCTAATCTGTAGAATGTTCTGTGCTCTACAGATTATTTCATGCGACAAAGCTCCATCCCTCCCCCATCATAGCCTCACTGCTTCTCAGAAGGAGTTGCCATGACAACCAGCCAACACCTCTGCCGTATTTGGAGCAAGAAGAAGAGAGGTCCGCCATGGTATGGGAGTGAGGGAGGGAGGGGAGGAGCAGGTGGAGAAAATCTGCGCATTGAGGACATCGGACCGTCTTTCCAAAGAGAAAAAATGCTCCCTCATGCCTCACACCTCCTACAGCTGTTGTGTCTCCTCACAACAGAGAAAGCCCTTGTTGTCCCGTCAGCTTCCAGACGAAAACACTGGGAAATCTGTTGGCTGTTTTCATCACAACAAGAAAATCTCTGTCCGTTCACAATGAGACGGAGCCCATGTGACAGACGTCCTGCCAGGAATGCAAAAAACAAAGGCTTTTTGCATTGAGTGTTTTTTTTATTGATACTTGCAAAGTGAAAGATAAAAGAAATCGTGTCTGGATGTGAAGTAGAAGGAGCAAAATCAAAAAGTATTTGTCTTAGTACTTGTAAAAACAAAACTAGTTTAGCTTTCCTCAGAGGAACAGGGTTCGGCAGTGAAACGTCTTAAAGGCTTTGAAACAACAGAAGTTGTGGAGCAGAATTTTAAACAGCAGGATTAAAACACTAGGATTTATAAACAGAGAAAAAAAAATAAAACTAATCTTTTCATTAAGGTTTACAGAGAATGTGTGGGAATTTGTATATAATATCACGTGCTTTTTTAAAGTAGGAATATCTTTGATCCTTTCACATTTTATCATCACAAACATTATTTGCTTTAATGGAAATGTGTAAAATAAAGGACATTAAACCAATATAGAATCTAGATTTCAAACATTAATGGTTGTTTTTTTAGATCCTTTTCATTGGATTTTCTTACTGTGTACCTTTATTTATTATTTAATTTATTTTTATTATATATAATTGTTTTCTTCATATATACATAAAAACAGTTTGCATTAACTAGCCTACACACACTGCAAAAACTATCTAAAAATTAGTAAAACACGTCTTAAATTGAGTGTATTTACCCTTAATTTGAGCAGGTAAATGAGATGGTTTGCCAACGGAATGAGCAATTTTACTCTTAAAATAAGATAATTAGATAAAATGCACTTGAAATAAGACGATGCAATTGTGTTTCCTTATTTTAAGTGTAAATTATCTTGTTCCATTGGCAAAATGTTTTTTTTACTTCCTCAATTCAAGACCAAATGCACTTACTTTAAGAAAAAAATGACTTATCTAGATTCTGATTTTTTGCAGTGCAATCATCACATAAAACATGTAAAACGTCTAATATTTGTAATTTTAACATTTTGAGCTATGATTGCTTTTATATTACACAAATAAATTCTGATCTTGTTACACCTTTAGCCAAAGATGGTCACATGACACCAAACAGCTACACTAATCACAATTATGACCTGAAAGCTTAGTTGTCATGGTTACCTAAAGCTCTGGCTTCTTGTTTTTGAAAATAAATCCTTCAGATTTCACAAAGCTTCAATAGAAGCTTAACAAATCAATGCAGTGAAGTAAGAAACCAAACAAACAGAGCAGATACTGTTAAATAGATGATTTGTTTATTAAAAGACACAACATTCTGTTATGGCTCATGTGATATCAGCTTCAGGAGCTTACAGTACGGAGCCCGACCCGGCCAGCGTGACACCCAGGTGTCAAACAAACCTTCCTCTTCAATCTTCAGCTTCTAAGTCTACATTCAAAAAATCATTAATTGCTTTAAAACAAACTATGTACACACAATCCACGATGGAGGACGAGCACAGATGGACGGACTACACAGGCAAACGCTACAGAGGAGTGAGGGGAGCTGGGTGCAGAGGGAGTGTTTCTTTCTTTTGGTTTTGATTTTTTGGACATGCAGGTAAGCAGATCTTTTCTTTCTCAACAATTTCCACAACTCTTTAAATCCCTGTTATGATTTCAGAGCATCAATCTGAGCTTGGAGAGTTTTTCAATCTTCTGCATTGGAGCCTGATGAAGTTCTGGGCCCTAAGATTGTTCAGCCAAATCCATAAATATAACAGATATAGATGAAATGACGGAGTATAGAGACGAGCAGGGAGGAGTGGTGGATTAGATAGGTAGCATAGTGATGATATTAATAATAATAATTAATTTGGGAATATCATAGATATTTGAAGTATCTATGGGCACGAGGCGGGGAGGGGGTTGTGGCTGTGTGCCCAGAGGTTTGTGAAGCCATCAGGGATCAGTGTCTACTTGAACTGCTTAAGGGGGGGAGGCACCTTGATGTCCTGACCTCTCTCCAGTCTCTTCTCACACTCAATAAGGTAGTTGACACCATCCACCACAGTTTGCACCAGCTGGACCTAAGAGAGAATCAAACCACATTTACTTCCTGATATTTAAAGGTTTTCTTTAGTGCATCCAGAAGTGTTAAAGTATTCATGTTTATTACTAAAGCACAATTCCTACCATTTAAAAACCCTTCTGTAGAAGTTAGAGGATCAACTTCAGCTTTTTACTCCAAAGAAAGTGTAAAAGTACCATTTTTAAAACTACTTAAAGAATAAAAGTAATACAGGAAAAAATGTTAAGGACAGAAACTTTACTGCACTACCCTAATAAAGGAAAATTTTCTACAATTATTGATGTCTTAGTTTTATAACTAATGGTAACAGTGTCAAATTTAGCTTTACATCATCTTGAAAAACTATTTATTTTGGTATGTGGTGAAAAACAAGTTGGGGCAGCACCGAGTCCAAACACAAAGAAATTATTTTCTGGATAAAACTAATTTTTTTGATTGATTTATTTTATTTACACACCAACAGGCCGTAACGAAAATGACACTAAAGTCGTAGGGAAGCAGCTGTTCCAAACGTTACATTTCTGAATTCTCTCGAGTGGCGCACGACGTTACACGAGTGAATAAAGTGAATGTGATTGGTCGATTATCAAGGGGGCGGGATTGTTGGGTCGGAAGGTTCACAAGCACATTTGTTTGTGGCCGGTTTGTCAGAAGCATTGTTGCTAACCAGTTAGCAACTTAGTGCTAGTAGGTTCCCAATGGGAAAGGAAATGATTCTCATTTCTTATTTCAACCGTTGCATATATTAGCTCCAACATATGAATCAAGATGCTATGAAAGAAAACATTTGATTGACAGATGACCGTTGATATATGATTGGCCGAATTTAGGTGTTCAGGCTGACGTATAACTAACTGGCCTGCAGAAGATAACGAAAAAAAAACACAGATTTTAAGAGAAGATTTTTTTTTTTAAATAGAAATTTTCAAACTTTTGGGACAATATGGTCTGATAAAAAGTACATTTATACACATTTAAGCTAGAATGATTTGACCTTTAAATATGATTTCCCTACGACTTTAAATTAAACAAAACTAAACAGTATTTTTTTAAATGTAAGGAGTAGATAGCAGAGATAACAGCAAAAAAATCTAAAGAGTAGAAGTTAATATTGCCTAAAAAAGATTTACACCACTAAGTATAGATAAACAAAAATTCTACTTAAGGTAACAAAGTATTTGTACTTTGTTACTTGACACTTCTGAACAGATCCAAATGGTTAAAGCACCTCCCATAAAAGATCAATAAAAACCAGTCTGTTTGATTAAACAAGAAAGAAAGTTGTTAAAAATGTTACGACCATTTGTTCTACTTTCAACATTTCCATTAAATATTTCACATCCATACATTACGCCATCCATCCTATTGAGTCCTTTTGTAAACCTGCCCAGTATTTTCTGTTGTAAACTTCCCCGTCTCTGATAAGATTTTTTTTCCAAACTGGAACAATAATGGAATTTTTAAAACCTAAGCCATGACAGAGATTCTGAAGTTTTCAGTGATGAGTGAATCAATAAACATGCATCTCCTCTGCTCTGGGCCTGGAATTCATTATTTACAGATTATCCTGCATTCTTAAAGGCATTTTTTCATCTGATAAGCCAAACTAGGACTTATTGAGAAATCCTGTTCTATTTCTCTGACCTTTCCCCCACTCTCATTCAGATTAGCAACACCTGATCTAGAACTCCTTTTGTGACTAAAATTTGAAAAAAAAAAAAAAAAAAATGTCAGAATTTGATTAAAAAAAAATCAGGCACTCTAACATTTGTAACCTCCTAAAAGATGCATAAATAACATAATTAAACTGGATCTTGACCATCCAAGCATTGCTTTGATCACTTTACATTAACTGATAGAACCTCCAGTGACATGTGGATACTCTTCACTGTGGATAAAAGATAGGAAGGCTGCCTTCCCGTCCCAGGTGTCCTACCTCAGACTGTCCCAGGCGGTCCAGGTTGGAGATGTCAAACACTCCGCCAACAGCAGCAGTGTCCACGCCGCCGGTCCCTCGTTTCTGCAGACGCAGGTTGTCTAGGATCTTACTGAAGCGTGGATCCTGTAAGGCAGAGAGGAGGAGTCCCACTGAACGCTGTGAGTCTCTGATTAACGACCCGTGTTTTGTAAAACCAGAGAAAATGGAGCTTTTTAAAAACATGTCGGTATGAGCTGTTGGATTGAATAGAAAAGAAAAGGTTACTGAACATTTGTTAGATTTTCTCACTACAAAAACGACCCGCCTGCAGCGATCTAATGACCTGGGCTAAGAGACGGGGCTGGTCTGAGGCAGGGCAAACCAACGCCCCGTTCACACTACCCTCTGAAAACCAATCCGTGCTGAGCGCTGTTCCTAATGACCGTTTACACACCACGCTAGCACGGTTCCTCACCTCCTAGTGGCTATCTACGGTACTACTGCTCTCTAGAGGGAAACAACCAAACAAACATGGCGGTGCCCCTAATATTCAGGAAGTTTGTGGAAAGTCAGGCGAAGAAGACCGCCTTTGATGAATTTACTTGGCAGAGTCGGCTTTTGGGAAGTGGATACAACAAACGATCATCTAATCAGGGCTTACAGACGCAGGAAACAACGACAGACGTTGATGTTCATCACACTGCTAAGCAGAATCATCACTGGAAACGGTGCGGCACGGTAGGGAAGCTTGTATTGTTATGAATGTCTAAAATTTCCTGATTACGGAGGCTGACTGTAAGGAGATGATGCGGTCTGCTGATGCTCTGTTTGTTATCTGAAAACAGAACCACAACTGAACCTCGCCAAGCCCTACTGATGAGCTACTACCATGTTACCGGGGTTCAGTTGTGACTGGCAAGGTCCGGTTCAGTTGTCTGGCAATTTACACTCAACAATTATCTCGGTTACCGTGCTCGGACCAATCTCAGCACAGTTTCAAAAGGGTAGAGTAAAAGGGGCTAAAGAGACTGCTTAGGGCCCCAGGGCAAACAGAGGGCCCCGGAGAACGTTGCGTTGTATAGGTTTTTTGCATTTACGATTATCCATATAAGAATATAGAAAGAAAAACGCATAAATTCATGATTGAATTTTGTGTTTTTTCAATCAAAATATGTTTAATCTTAAACATGAAGAATGATTTAGATTTATTTTCTTGGGGCCTGATGGACACACAGTCAAAAAAAATAAATCTTTGAAGAAAGAAAATAATTGATATTTTATCGTTTGTTTGATTAAGTTATGTCTGTTTTAGTTTTTTTTTTTCATTTCATTCATTCATTCTTGTACTACAGGTTACAGTATAAACCACAAGAACTTCTACGGGAAATAAACAGCATGCTAATTGATTTCATTGCTTTTAGTGACATCAGATGAATATGAACTGTCTGAATCATCTGATTGTTGAACTGTTGAACACAGCAATTTATATTACTGTCAGAAATAAGAGGCCCCCATAATCCCACCCTGCCTCGGGCCCCTTGGAGGCCTGGGCCGCACAGCAGACAAATAACCCAGTTTGCAGCTGTAATCTGACAGAAATCAGGTAAGTTCTAGAGGTGTTAATAGTGTAATTTAGTGGTTATAAAAAGTTTAATCCATCCTCTGGGCTGCACAGTAAAATAACTGTTTAATAATTTTCCAGAGAAACAAGGACTAAAACTCCTGCAGATGTTGGTCTTTGGTCCGGCTCTGCTGCAGCTGCTGTGTTACCTTGCTGAGCAGCGGCAGCTTGACGTGGACTCCGGCTCTGAGTCCAGTTCCCAGGTTGGAGGGACAGGTCAGGATGTAGCCGAGCCTCTCGTTCCACATGAACTCCCAGCCTCTCTCCTGGATCAGACGCTCCACCTGATGGGGAGATGCTCACAGTTAGAGCTGTGCAGCTCTTCAGTTTTCCTACAAAACTTTCAAGTGAGAAATCTAAAAGAATGTAACGCTGTGAAAGTGGGAGTTGGAAATCAAACCATAAACATGTGCCTGTTTTCAGTTGTGCACCAGAGCAGCAGCATGTGCTGCAGCGCTTGTCGTTTGCTCTCTGACTAGCAGGGAACGGGAAAGTTTGAATAAATTATTTATGTTCACATGACCAAGTTTGGACGCTGTTTTGTGTATGTCTGTCAGCAGGCTTTATCTGTGACGGATGACCTGTGGAAGCCATTTCCTGCTTTTAAACAAGACTAATGCTCCTTTATTGAGTTTATAAAGGTGTCTAGGAGCAGAAACGCTCCACAATAACAACACCCAGCATCTGGATTAGATCATGCAGAACAGAGTCTGTGCTGGCTGACTTTAACATATTAAAAGACAGAGATATATTTAGAAAACATTAACTAGAACTTCTGTTTATCCTCTGTTTACTCACCAGTTTTTTCCCTGAATAATCTAGAAGGATCCATTCTCAGCTGTCTTACCTCCTTGAGACCTTTGCAGAACCTCTCAAAGACCCTTTTCATGTTGCCTCCCTTCTCCATGGAGATGACTCTGGTGTGATCCTCCTCATTGACCCAGATCAAAAATGTCTTCTCATTGTTGTGCCTGCAGAGAGGGAGTTTGCTCTGCTTGATCAACAGCTCAGATGAATGGGACTAAAGCCCCATCTGTCCCTCACAGTTGCATGAACATACAATCTACATGCGGACTATTCCCTTTGGCCTTTCAATGTTAATTTAAACTGTTTAACCTTTTTAAAAGCTCTTATAGACTGATTCAAAAATAAAGGAACATGTAAACAACACAATATAACTTGAATTAAATCAAACTTCTGTGAAATCAAACTGTCCACTTAAGAGGCAACACAGATCGACAATCAATTTCAGTCGCTGTGGAAATGGAAAAAGCAACAAGAGGAAATTATTGGTAATTAGCAAGACATACTCAATAAAGGAGTGGTTCTGCTGGTGGGAACCACAGACCACTTCTCAGTACCTATGCTTTCAGACTGATGTTTTGGTCATTATGACAGGCTGTAGGAGGGCAACAACTCAGCAACAGAAGAGAGCGCTGCCAGACCCTTTCAAAATGACGTCCAGCAGGCCATAAATGTGCATGTGTCTGCACAAACAGTTAGAAGCCGACTCCATGAGGATGGTATGAGGGCCCAACGTCCTCAGATGGGGGTTGTTCTCATAGCCCAGCTCTGTGCAGGATGCTGGGCTTTTGCCAGAGAACACCAGGATTAGCAAATTCTCCACTGGTGCCCTGTGCTCTTCACAGATGAAAGCCGGTTCACACTGAGCACATGTGACAGACATGACAGAGTCTGGAGACACCGTTTAGAGCGATCTGCTGCCTGCAACATCCTTCAGCATGACCGGGTTGGCAGTGTGTCAGCAATGGTGTGGGATGACAAGAAAGAGGAGGTAGCATGACTGCCATTAGTTACTGAGATCAGATCCTCAGACCCCTTGTGAGACCAAATGCTGGTGCAGTTGGCCCTGGGTTCCTCCTAATGCAGGACAATGCTAGACCTCATGGGGCTGGAGTGTGTCAGCAGCACCTGCAGTGTAAAGGTATTGAAGCTATGGACTGGTTCCCAGACAAAGATTGAGCTACCTACTTACAATGATGAGAAGCATACCTGAAGGAGCAGAGTTAGCATCATAATCTGACAGCATAGTACCAGCTGTGAAGTATGGTGGAGGTAATATGATGCTAAACACAGTTAACACGGGTTGTAGATGAGAAAAGCTGGCTAACATTACGCTTCTGTTGTCTCACATACAAAGACTAGGTGTATTTCCTAATTGAACCTAATATATGTTAAAACTGAAGAATGTCTGGTCTAATTAAAAAAAGACTGATGTAGGAAATCTGATCTGAACTAGACTGCTTATTCGACTGGCCTCTATTCATGTATGTAGATCAATGCAGTGAAGGGCTGAGTGGGATTCTATTGGCTGTGGGGTCAGAAATCATAAATCTTCCTGGAAAAACTCAAACCTACCGTATTTTCACGACCATAAGGCGCACCGGACTAAAAGGCGCACTCTCAGTTATGTGTGCCATTTCTGTATTTAACACACACATAAGGCGCACCGGACTATAGGGCGCGTTTTTTATATACAGGTACATGTCCTCTCAGGTGGATTTTCTCACTTAAAAACATATTAAAACTACTTTATTCCCACTGATCACAGCAAATAAAGCTGCAAGGTGTATTTATTACAAAGTATTATTAAAACCTGGGAACCTGCCGTGAGAGACACATCGCTGATGACACAGGGCTGTGATTACTCCTCTGATACAGTTTATTGACGCATAAATTAACTTAAAAAATAGGCAGGATAATAATCTGGATGAACTGACTGCAATGATTAAATTTTCAGGTGGACTTTCTCACTTAAAAAGATTTAAATTATTTAGATGAAAAAACACCTGCTGAGGTGAGTCCGGATGCGCCGCGGACCAGAGCCTGCTGTTGAATTAAGTTTTTTAGGTAGAAAAATAGAGCGGGAGCAAAACTGAGTATGATTGTGTTTTATTCATGTATTTATTACAAAGTATTAATCAAACCCATCAAAGTCCTCATCCTCTGTTTCTGAATTAAACAGCTGCGCTAAATCCGACATGCCAGTTCCCCCTTCTTCTTCGTTTATTGACGCATAAATTAACTTAAAACATAGGCAGGATAATAATCTGGATGAACTGACTGCAATGATTAAATTTTCCGGTGGGCTTTCTCACTTAAAAAGATTTAGATTATTTAGATGAAAAAACACCTGCTGATGTGAGCCCGGATGCGCTGCGGCCCAGAGCCTGCTGTTGAATTAAGTTTTTTAGGTAGAAAAATAGAGCGGGAGCAAAACTGAGTATGATTGTGCTTTATTCAAGTATTTATTACAGAGTATTAATCAAACCCATCAAAGTCCTCATCCTCTGTTTCGGAATTAAACAGCTGCACTAAATCCGACATGCCGGTTTCCCCTTCTTCTTCGCTGTCAGAGTCACTTTCCGTGCCGGGCGGCTCCTTGGAAATGATGCCGGCTTTTGCAAAAGCTTGAACAACAGAGCCAGCAGACACGTTAGTCCAAGCATCTACAATCCATCCGCAAACGGTGGCGTAACTTGCCCGCCGCTGCCTTCCACTTTTCCTGAAACTGTGGTCTCCGTCGGTCATCCATCGCTCCCACGCCGCTCGCAGCCTTACTTTGAACGGGCGGTTCACACCGATGTCGAGCGGTTGAAGCTCCTTTGTCAGACCTCCCGGAATAACAGCAAGCACAGCGTTCATTTCTTTGACCTTTTTTTTCACATCGGCTGTGAGATGGGCACGCATGGAATCACAAATTAACAGAGATGGAGATGCGTGGAAAAAACCACCTGGTCTCCTTACATACACCTCCCTCAGCCAAGCTTTCATCATCCCCTCGTCCATCCAGCCTTTTTCATTCGCCTTAAACCCATCAAAGTCATCATCCTCTGTTATCCTCAGCATTCCTCTGAATAAAACAGCTGCGCTAAATCAGACATGCCAATTTCCCCTTCTGCGCTGTCAGAGTCACTTTCCGTGCAGCGCGGCTCCTCAGAAATGATGCCGGCTTTTGCGAAAGCTTGAACAACAGAGCCAGCAGACACAGTCCATCTACAATCCATCCGCAAACGGTGGCGTAACTTGCACGGCGCTGCCTTCCATTTATCATGAAACTGTGGTCTCAGTCTGTCATCCATCGCTCCCACGCCGCTCGCAGCCTTACTTTGAACGGGCGCGTCACACCGATGTCGAGCGGTGGAAGCTCCTTTGTCAGACCCCCGGGATAACGGCGAGCACAGCGTTCATTTGATTCATCTTTTTTTCACATCGGCTGTGAAATGGGCACGCAGCGATGGTGATGCGTGGAAAAAAGCACCTGGTCTCCTCACATACACCTGCCTTTCATCATCTCCTCATTCATCCAGCCTTTTCATTTGCGTTAATATCATCAGAGCGCTGTGTCTCGCTGTCAGCTCCCAGATCAGCTTCTCTGATTGGTTGATGCGGCGCGTCCAGCAACAAAACTTCAATTTTTCCATCTGAGCTGCAGCAGCGCGTTGGCGGTGCGTCAGATGCTTAAACGCTCCCGACGTGCTGCACCAAAATGCGCTGCAGGACCTTTTACTGCACCTATATGCGCGTCAACCATTGACTTTGCATGTAAACTCGCTGCTTCTGCTGCACCTGCTGGGTCCGGTTCACACCGATGTCGAGCGGTTGAACAGCGAGCACAGCGTTAATTTGTTTCCCCATGTTTTTCACATCAGCTGTGAGATGGGCACGCATGGAGTTACATATTAACAGCGATGGTGAGGGGTGGAAAAAAAACACCTGGTCTCCTTACATTCAGCCACTCTTTCATCATCTCCTCAATGAGGTGGTCTCAAAAGTCGCAGTTACAACACACATAGGGCGCACCGCACCATAGGGCGCACCGCACATTTTGAGGGAAAAAAAAGACGTTTAAGTGCGCCTTATAGTCGTGAAAATACGGTAATTGGGTGAGATGAACAAGTCTCTTAATGAGGAGTAAAACAGACTTAGCCTTTATTATTCATATGCTAACTCTATAAATTAAACATCCAATTTATAAAATCAAACATCCATTAATAATTTATATAACTGAGGCTGTAAACTTCAAATTCTATGAATGGCTTTTCTTTTTAACTGAGACATTTTTGAAATCCATTTCTCTTTTTTATGCCAAATTATATAATGCTGATTAATGAGAAGCTTAACTGACAACAGAAACCCCATGGCAGCGAGGAAACGATTCAGCTGTTTTAAATTTTACATATTTTAAGCAAAAAAATGCTATCAAAGGAAAGATTGAAATAAAAATGATAACAGTTTGATAAGAGCTTGAATTTTCTAAACAAACTGTTGAAATGAGGTCACTTTAGAGTAAAACCTGGCAAACAGCATGAAAAACATTCATCCTTTTGCTCTAATCACAGATGCCAACTCAGAGTCTTATTGCTCCACAGCCTGTGTTAGTATTTACTGAAAACAATTATGTTTCATATCAAGTCTTTATTTTCATGAATAAAATCTGGACATCATCTAAGCATTACTTTAGAGTAACAAAACCTTTCCCCCCTCACACTACTTTTGTTTGATAATAATTGAGGGTGGAGCCTCGATCTAACAAAGAACAAGAGAAAGGACAAAATAAGAGACAGGGAGGAAATCACAGGATAAAGGGTGTAAGGAAAAGCAGGCGGAGAAAAAAATAGCTTCCAGTTCCCCTGAAAGAGGAGCTGAGGAGGCAACGGCTGAATTATTAAAAAGAGGAACGTCTGATAAGCCTTGGTGGGGATATAAACAGGGAGGCAGGTGTTTGATTACAGCTGGCTGACACATTAAACTGATTCCAGTAAAAACGCTGACATTTGATACTTCTAGCATTATCAATGAAGGCATTTTCACTACAACCTGGTAAAAAAAATACAAATCAATTCAGTCAAAATACAAATTTGTGGAAAATGAATTCTTTAAGCATGAATGGATAGAAAAAGTCCTGTTATATAATAAACAATACCACAATATGCTTAAAGGGCAACACCGTTTTTTTTTACATTTTTTCCTTGATTTTACGTTATTGCATCATGTTCTACTCACCCATATTAGTTTAGTGTCATTTGGAGCCGTTCTGAAGATATTCCATTAGGTCATATCCAAGTAACGTCTTCCTATGGGCAACGACTTGAAGGCACAAACTAAACTGTTCATAATTGATTCTTTATGGTATGCCAGCATTCAGAACATGTAGGCCAATCACTGTCCCCCAGACATCCGCCGTTATATATTTTTTATATTTATATGTTTTAAAAACAAAGTGGTGTGTGTATGATATCATCCGCGCACCAGACTGGAGTAGTGACAGGCAGCCCGGGCCACAGGCGGCTACGCTCTACCCCTTTTATTCATTCTAGCTAATCTGAATCATTCAATTCCATTTGGAGAGCGAGATCATCTGTGGTAGCAGCACTAGACATCTTCCAGGCATGTGAGGAAAACTAGCAGCAGTTCAGCGGACAGGATGAATCAATGGTAGCCGGCGCACGCGGATGACGTCATACACAGTCCGCTTTGTTTTAAAATATATAAATCTAAAAAATATAACGGCGGATGTCTGGGGGACAGTGATTCACCTACATGCTATGAATGCTGGCGTACCATAAAGAATAAATGATGAACAGTTTAGTTTGTGCCTTCAAGTCGTTGCCCATAGGAAGACGTTACTTGAATATAACCTAACGGAATATCTTCAGAACGGCTCCAAATGACACAAAACTCATATGGGTGAGTAGAACATGATGTAATAACGTAAAATCAAGGACCCAATGTAAAAAAAAAAAAAACGCTGTTCCCTTTTAATGCAACATTTTTATTTGAACTTACCAAATCCCACGGGCATCGGGCCAATCACGGGCCATGCCAGCACAGGTCAGGAGGGGCGACACCGGTTTGTCAAACAGGAAGTGATCCTAAAAGGTATAAATCAAAGATTTGTTCATACACAACGTAGAACTCAAAACTGTTTATCCTTCAGGAAAAATACGTTGATCTAACAATTTAGGCCATGATAAAAGACTGTAACATATGTTCCAGCACAAACCACTATTTATAATTAAGCCTAATTATTTCTTCTTTGTCTGTGTTGTATTTTGATTGATTTATAAAGTTAAAATTACCTTAAAACTTTGCATCTTATGAAAAATAAACTTTAGAGCTTAAAAACCTGAAGAAAGTTTTAAACTTGAAATAAATCCCATTAAGATTAAGTGAGAGGGATGGAAGGTCCATTAGCTAACCTCCTCCAGCTTCACTAATAAGCTTACAGCTAAATCTTCACTTCATGAAGTCACATTTTAGATCACTAATTCTTGTCATGACTGGACAGAGTTTTGCCAGCAGCAGCAGAAGGTTGTTTTCAGGCTATAAACATGATTTCGTTTTAGGACATTTCATTACAGCTCTGGGAATATATCAGTATCTTATTGAACCACAATAATTTAGCAGAAAATCTAAATTGTTATTTTCTAAAAGTTTTCCTCTGCACTAATCAGCCTTTAACTGTTTGGCTCCAGGTAGGTCAGCCATAATACTCTATGAATCAGTTCATTAAATGGTCAATTCAGAAAAGGTCATCATTTGCATTAGCTGGTCTGTTTTCTTTCCTCATGTCTTCCTCGTCCCAATAAAGAGTCTGGGTCCGTTTCTCTCGTGTACTTGTGTGTTCTCGTGTGATCAGTCCTGTTCCAATTGACAAGACCATGAACGGACAAAGTCCCTGGATGTTGTTCTCGCCCCTCCCTCTTTACCCAGCATGCATCAGAGCAGACTTGTCCGTTCTCCAGACTGACAGCTGTCCCAGCATGCACTGCGGCAGCAGCAGCTTCCAGTCTAGCCTCACTGAGCTCAGAGTATTAAGTTAAAAGTTCACTGTTTTGTTGCTGTTGTTCTATAAAAGTACGTTTTAAGATCATCTGTGGCAAGAATATTATACTTTAAGCTTCACTATAAGGCTCTGATGGCGATTTTTTTGTTTTATTTGGCTAAAGAAATTTGTTTAATTTGTGTTTATCTGACTGTGTTAATCATTATTCCCCCACTAAATGAAAAAAGTTATACTTTTTTATTATTATCTAGAGACTATTACAGACATCCCAAGTCTCCCGGAAGTTACTGGAGTCTCCCTGATATAGATAGTTGTTCACGGATGCCCGCGAGTCGGATAAATTATCCCGGATTTTAGACTTTATGAGGTAGGTTTTTTTTTTTGCGAGTGAGGGCGTGCAGGCAGTACCATTATTCGTGCACCAGTGCGGATTAGAACTACTGTTATTACGCAGACAACAAGAGAAAGAGGGTGTGGGGAGGAGGCTGCTTGTGAAACCTGTGCATATCTGTCCAAAGCGATGCTCTGTTCAACAAGCGTTCCAGGCGATTGGTTTACTCTCTGACAGTCACCTAGTGACCACTCAAAGCGGTCTATCCTGTGAAATAGGTTGAACTCTCGAGTGAAAAACGAAAATATAAGACTCATTTTACAGCAGAATATACTTAAGTATATCCATGTCTAGTGAAGGTGAAGAATGATGAAGTGTGTATGTTTTGGGCGTCGGTTGTCTTCGGTGGGGTGGGGGGGGTTCGACGAGAAATTATGTTTTGGAACTAGGGATGTCTGCTGTTAATAACAGGAGGCGAAACGTAGCTCCAGACCAGCTTTGAATGTGGTGACGTCACAAGAACGCTTTCTGTTCCAGTTGACCCAGATTTTCTGTGCCAGCTCCCGTTCCCCCTGAATGCACACTTTCTTTTTTACTCACCAAAGACAACGTACACGAGTCCGTACTAGTTCTTGTGAATTTAAAAACAACCCGCATGAAAAGAAGCTTCATTCAAGCCCTGCCCCCCTTATCACATCCTTAGCATAGCAAGCGTAGCATAAGATCCTCATGATGACGAGAAGTGAGCCAGAAAAATTGGAAGACAAGCATGGAACTGGTTTCAAAGCTGAAAACAACAATTGCATTGTGGGTACACTTTGGATTGAACCCCAATGACAATATGATCATTTCAAACTGAAAAACTCAAACGGAAAGGAAAAGAAAATCAGAAGAATTTTATCTATATAATTATTTTAAGGAAACACTGGCGCTAAATTTTACTTTAATATCCATAAGAAGGTGTATGAGAACAGCTATGTTTCCCCCCCAGGCCTGAAACTGGTGGTTGAGTGGAGATGGATGAAGCTGGTTCAGTCCATAGACTGCTGGTTGGAGAGATGATCTGGTTGAACTGCATTGGTCAGATCCAGGTGACTGTGTGAGTTGATACTAGTGCTTCACTCGGGACCCATAGGATTGGATCCCGCTTGGATAAACACAGGTTTGCATGAGCCTGTCGATGATGACCAAGCATGAAGCGACAGTGGAGAGGAAAAACTCCCCTTTGGGAAGAAACCTCTGGCAGAACCAGGCGCAACATGGCGGTCTCATGACAGACCGGTTGAGATGTGATGGGTAATGCAGTAAGAGTCCGGGAGGAATTATAGTCTGATAGGGACAAGGTTGAAGAAGCTAGATGGAGCTTAGCTACGATGGTGGAGAAGGGGATGGAGGGGGGTTGAATCGGGGTCATCTGAGTCAATATTAGACACAGCGCAGCCACTTCTTGCACTTAGCTGGGCAGCAGGCTGGATAGTGGATTTGAAGACCTTTTAAAATGAACTCTGGATGTTGATTGGGCTTCCTGGAGGTTCAAAGTTGACTGGTTTGCGTCAGAGGCAGGTGAGCCTCTGATGATTAGGGCAGGTAATTTAGTTTCTTCAGTTTAACTTCTGCCTAGACTTCATTTATCGCAATCATTTCTGGAACAACTTACATTTCTGCAAAGTTTGCTATGTTAATAGGCCGAGCGTTACATTGTTCTTACTACTAGCATGGATCTGTGCCCTACTGGCAACTCTCTCTTCCCTTCTGTCTGGCAATAAACCCAATTTAATCGTATATATTACCCCTAAAGGCCCGGAGTACGGAAGCCCAGAGCCATCGTGTCCCTCAGATACTTTTTCACAGTGGTTTTCTAGAGAAAACAAGTTAACTTTCTCATTATCTAAAGATAATGAAAGCCGTTTACTCATGATAACAAGATTGCTGTGTGTTAAACTGATTACATCCTTCAATACCACAACAGCGGGAGAGGATTTATAAGTCATGGCAGCCTGTGTGTCATTCTGTAAATGATCCTGTGCTTCATTTTTAGGGAACAAAATGACCTTGTTGGTTTGATGATTTAGTTCCACTTCTGATTCATAAGCAAAACCGCCACGGTGTTTCACCTGTAATAGCTATAAGATGCATTAACCCGCAAAATGATTCCAGATTAAAGATTTTGATAAAAAAAAAAAAACAACAGTCAGATTTGTTTCTACTGTATTCCATGCAATCCAATCATCCACCACCACCTGACAATGGTGATTATTTGCGCACAGGCAGCACCACGACTGCACAACTATGGGCCCTGCGGGCACGGATAGACTGGGAATCCAGGTCTATTTGCCAGCCTCATTCATTGCTCAGACAGGTGAATTATCTCATTATCTCGAGAAATCAATACCTGTTTTCTCATGGTCCCGAGAAAAATTTTTTTTATGGTTTAACCGTGCTAGCAAGATAGTTATGTCATTATCTCGAGAAGACAATGGAGAAATAAAAGTCGAGTACAAACGCTCTTGGCTTCTGAGCCACAGGGAATTAAAGGGGACTTTTATAAAATTGCGATCATCAAATTCATTTTCCAGATCCACCTTATCATAACTTACTCTACCTGAATCTGATGAGTTAATCCACAGGATGAAAAAGTTAGGAGACCCTTTAGGCTTATGGACATTTTATACAGATTTTAAAAACATTAAAAGTATCATATAATATACAGGTGCTGGTCATAAAATTAGAATATCATGAAAAAGTAGATTGATTTCAGTAATTCCATTTAAAAAGTGAAACTTGTATATTATATTCATACATTACATACAAACTCATATATTTCAGATGTTTATTTTGTTTAATTTGATGATTACAAATGACAACAAATGAAAATCTCAAATTCATCATATCAGAAAATTAGAATATTACTGAAGACCAATAAAAACAAAGGATTTATAGAAATGTTGGCCAACTGAAAAGTATGAACATGAAAAGTATGAGCATGTACAGCACTCAGTATTTAGTTGGGCCTCCTTTGGCCTGTATTACTGCAGCAATGCGGCGTGGCATGGAGTCGATCAGTCTGTGGCACTGCTCAGGTGTTATGATAGCCCAGGTTGCTCTAATAGTGGCTTTTAGCTCTTCTGAATTGTTGGGTCTGGTGTATTGCATCTTCTTCTTCACAATACCCCATAGATTTTCTATGGGGTTAAGGTCAGGAGAGTTTGCTGGCCAATTAAGAACAGGGATACCATGGTCCTTCAACCAGGTACTGGTAGCTTTGGCACTGTGTGCAGGTGCCAAGTCCTGTTGGAAAATGAAATCTGCATCTCCAAAAAGTTGGTCAGCTGCAGGAAGCATGAAGTGCTCTAAAACTTCCTGGTATGTGGCTGCGTTGACCCTGGACCTCAGAAAACACAATGGACCAACACCAGCAGATGACATGGCACCCCAAACCATCACTGACTGTGGAAACTTTACACTGGACTTCAAGCAACGTGGATGAAGTGCCTCTCTTCTTTTCCTCCAGACTCTGGGACCTTGATTTCCAAAGGAAATGCAAAATTTACTTTCATCAGAGAACATGACTTTGGACCACTCACCAGCAGTCCAGTCCTGTTTTTCTTTAGCCCAGGCAAGACGCTTCTGACACTGTCTGTGGTTCAAGAGTGGCTTGACACAAGGAATGCGACAGCAGAAACCCATGTCTTTCATACGTCTGTGTGTGGTGGTTCTTGAAGCACTCACTCCAGCTGCAGTCCACTCTTTGTGAATCTCCCCCACATTTTTGAATGGGTTTTGTTTCACAATCCTCTCCAGGGTGCGGTTATCTCTCTTGCTTTTACACTTTTTTCGACCACATCTTTTCCTTCCCTTCGCCTCTCTATTAATGTGCTTGGACACTGAGCTCTGTGAACAGCCAGCCTCTTTAGCGATGACCTTTTGTGTCTTGCCCTCCTTGTGCAAGGTGTCGATGGTCGTCTTTTGGACAACTGTCAAGTCAGCAGTCTTCCCCATGATTGTGTAGCCTATAGAACTAGACTGAAAGACCATTTAAAGGCTTTTGCAGGTGGTTTGAGTTAAATAGCTGATTAGAGTGTGGCACCAGGGGCCATCAATTTTGAACCTTTTCACAATATTCTAATTTTCTGATATGATGAATTTGAGATTTTCATTTGTTGTCATTTGTAATCATCAAAATTAAACAAAATAAACATCTGAAATATATGAGTTTGTATGTAATGTATGAATATAATATACAAGTTTCACTTTTTAAATGGAATTACTGAAATCAATCTACTTTTTCATGATATTCTAATTTTATGACCAGCACCTGTAAACAAATAATCAAAACTGAGGAAATTTTAATATATTCTGTTTAATGTTATAATAAATTTGAGGAATAAATGAGGACAATCGAAATGTAAACTTTCATGAGGCGAACATACCAACAATGCTAATCTGCATTTAGAATAAAAGTTGTAAAAAATGATTTTCTATGATAGTCTATGAAAACACAGCTACCCTTTTTGCTGATTTAAAACATCTCATCCAAGCATCGCTTACATCAATGAGCTGCTGTTGCTCCTTATCGGTCATTTGAGTAAGACTGTAGTATCTTCCAGCCAGGTCTCCCTTCAGCCCGGCCAGAGCGTCCACCACCACCCGCTCCACCTCTCGGCGTTCTGCGCGGGTGCAGGCAGGGGGCAGACTCAGGCCCCTGATGCTGCGGCCTGTCCTCACCCTGGACGACAACACGTAGCGCTCATCGAACACGCCTGAATGGATCTGAAACAAGCAAAAGCATCAACGTCAAGCAGTATTCCTGCAAATATTTCTAAGCAAACGTCTGTAGACAGTGATGATGGTTAAGCCCATGTTTGTCTTACAGAACAGATCTTAAATCTCTGTAAGGTTTTATCTGAATAAAAACGTTTATATATTGGCCTCTAAGGAGAAAGCTGGCCTTTCTTTCGAAAACAGCATAGATGTTCAAACTATTTCTGGGACCGTGCTCTTAGGACAGAAAAAGGTTAAGATATTCAACCATGACCTAAACCCTGATCATGGTCCATCAGTAAAAAACATTTCAAGAGTCAGGCATGGAGGTGATGATTTGGGCTTGTTCTGTACCTATGGTATCTTTCAGTCAGTGAGATGTCCTCCATGGTCAAATATTTTTCCCATCAGACCAGCATCTCCCATGTAATAAACTGCAGTTTTTGTGTTTTCTTCTGAACTTGAAGACTTTGCCTCATCGTTGAAGCTTTCAGATTATAGACCTCGGTTTGTTTTTATCTTTATCTTCATATCTCAGCCCATTTTTTGGACTGTGGGATACATTTACCACCTTGTCTCTGTGGGCTTTGATTCTTATTGTCACCCTTTTGTTGTGTACTTTCAGCATTCTTGTTTTATGTTTGATTAGTTTTCTATTTCTCTAAATGTTTCTATTCCATTTTATCAAATTCCTCCTCTCTTTCAGTGTATTTATTCCACTAAGGTTCACTTCTTTGTTGCAACTATACTGTTGTAATCAACATGTTTCCCTCGTACAGTTCCAAACGAAGGCGACTGATCTTCAAAATGTGTTTCTTTTTTTATGTTTTTTCCATTAACACTGACATTAAAATTCTTTTCATTTGTATGAACTCTTCCTCTTACAGCACCTGCCTGCATTTTAGTCTTATTACCGCAACAAACTGACAGCAAGAGCGGCTTAGGTGAAACCAAGTAATCTAGTGTGATAATAATCTGGACCCTGACATAATGAGACCGTCATTCTCCTTTTAACAACCTGGTAACAAACAGTGGAATAAAATAAAGATATTTTTTTGTCTGATCAGTTCATAGTTCAGACAAAGAGTTGCAGCTTGAACAATCACCTTTACGTTCTGTGGCGCCAAAACATATTTTTCAATTACAATATATCCAGGCCTGCTGTTTCTGCATTCATTGGCTGCTGTTTGACGGCATCCATCATGGTTGGTTTCAAGAAATTAAATAAGAGTTAGAGACATTTTCCTCAACAGCCTAAAATAAAAATCGTTCCCATCAAAAAACATAACCCAACCACAGGAGAGGAGTGACTAGTCAGGGGTAGTAAGTACCTTGCTGGCATCCAGGTCAGTGGGATGCCTCATGTTGCGGGGATCATAGCCATTGTGCCTCTCTTTGATGACAGGGTCCAACAGGTCAGCAAACACCTAAAGAGAAGCATATGAACATATACCCTTGATTAATCACAGCCATGGAAGATTTAGATCTTATATTACTCTTCACAAAAAGTTGGTTTCAAAAAGAAATATTTTGTTAGCAAAAATCAGCATAAAAAGGATCCATACATATTCATTTAAACTGTGACATTCAGAACTGCTTATCAAATCATTTGCACCTTTCCATCCCAATCAAATTTTACATGATGTACCACACAGAGGCATTTTCAACATTTCTCTTTGGGGATGAGCTTCCAGTTTTGACAGTTTAAAAGCCTCCTGACCATCACGCTAATATTTAGCAGAGAATTACTGATACAGTTTTTTGTTGATGCCGATACAGATGTTAACGCAGCTGTTCCTCTGACATCACAGCGCCAGACAGCTGTTTTTAAAACCAGTCACGGAAAGTACCTGGCCTGTTGGTGCGCTGTACTTGAAGGGTTAAAAAACAATCCACTGGACCTTGTTTTCCAAGTATGAAGATGTTCCGCTTCCCATCCAGGAAGCTTTTTCAATTCAAAATGTCTGGAGAAGCGTTTAGTTCCCTGCTTATAGACAGAGTAACCCAACAAAGCCTTGTTATGGCTTAGAAAACATGCAAATTGAACTGAATGAACAGGTCCACACCTTTGTAATGGGGAGTCATTGAGGTCGTTGTTGGCCTGCAATACTGGATACTGGCCTATGTCCCTGAAAAGGGAGTTGTTAGGGTCATTGATGGCCTGGCTGATCAGGCGAAATGTTTAGGTCCCCTGCATAGCTATGGGGTTGTGATGATAGGGGCTGGAACCTGAGTCCACCCTCTCTGATAAAGGCAGGTTTTTCTCTCTTAACATGAATGGCTTCCTTCACACCCTTCTCAAACCACCTATGTCCAAAATGAACATTCTGCTCCTCAAAAGAATGTCCTTTGTCCTTAAGTTGTAGATGGATAGCAGAGTCTTGTCTTTTCTCCAAGTTAAGGACAAAGGACATTAGTTTGAGGACCAGAATGTTCACATACTGGACAAAGAGGACAGGTGGAAAACAAAGTCCAGCGGTTTGTTTTTTTAAGCTTTTTAACTTTTTTGGAATGACCTGGAAGACTGAGAATCTTCACCGGCATAGTTAGCTGTTGCTAGCTGTAGTTAGCTGTGGGTTAACTGTAGTTAGCTGGGGCTAACTGTAGTTAGTTGTTGTTAGCTGTAGTTAGCTGTGGGTAAACTGTAGTTAGCTGCTGGGGGTTAACTGTGGTTAGCTGGGGATTAACTGTAGTTAGTTGTTGCTAGCTGTAGTAAGCTGTGGGTTAACTGTAGTTAGCTGGGGGTTAACTGTAGTTAGTTGTCGCTAGCTGTAGTTAGCTGTGGGTTAACTGTAGTTAGCTGGGGGTTAACTGTAGTTAGTTGTTGTTAGCTGTAGTTAGCTGTGGGTTAACTGTAGTTAGCTGGGGTAAACTGTGGTTAGTTGTTGTTAGCTGTAGTTAGCTGTGGGTTAACTGTAGTTAGCTGGGGGTTAACTGTAGTTAGTTGTTGTTAGCTGTAGTTAGCTGTGGGTTAACTCTAGTTAGTTGTTGTTAGCTGTAGTGAGCTGCGAGTTAACTGTAGTTAGCTGGGGGTTAACTGTAGTTAGTTGTTGTTAGCTGTAGTTAGCTGTGGGTTAACTGTAGTTAGTTGTTGTTAGCTGTAGTTAGCTGCGGGTTAACTGTAGTTAGGTGGGGGTTAACTGTAGTTAGTTGTTGTTAGCTGTAGTTAGCTGTGGGTTAACTGTAGTTAGCTGGGGGTTAACTGTAGTTAGTTGTTGTTAGCTGTAGTTAGCTGTGGGTTAACTCTAGTTAGTTGTTGTTAGCTGTAGTTAGCTGTGGGTTAACTGTAGTTAGCTGGGGGTTAACTGTAGTTAGTTGTTGTTAGCTGTAGTTAGCTGTGGGTTAACTCTAGTTAGTTGTTGTTAGCTGTAGTTAGCTGCGAGTTAACTGTAGTTAGCTGGGGGTTAACTGTAGTTAGTTGTTGTTAGCTGTAGTTAGCTGTGGGTTAACTGTAGTTAGTTGTTGTTAGCTGTAGTTAGCTGTGGGTTAACTGTAGTTAGCTGGGGGTTAACTGTAGTTAGTTGTTGTTAGCTGTAGTTAGCTGTGGGTTAACTGTAGTTAGTTGTTCTTAGCTCTAGTTAGCTGTGGGTTAACTGTAGTTAGCTGTTGTTAGCTGTAGTTATCCGCTAACCTATCAGTTACCATGACAACAGAAGCCTCTCATCCTCATATCACCACTTAGGGTTAGGGCTGCCTTGCGAAGCATTCAACCCCTTGAGCTTTTCAACCTTTTGCCTCATTTCAGGCTTCAAACATAAAGATATAAAATTCAAATTCTTTGTGAAGAATCGACAACAAGAGGGACACTATCTTGAAGTTGAACAAAATGTATTGGATATTTAAAACTTTTTCAACACATAATCAAACTGAAAACTTGGGGGTGCAAAATTATTTAGCCTCCTTGAGTTAATACTCTGTAGCGCCCCCTTCTGCTGCGATTAGAGCTGCAGGTCTCTCAGGGTTTTGTCTCTATCAGGTTTTTTACGTCGACAGACTGAAAATTTTACCCATTCTTCCTGCAAAACAGCTAGAGCTCAATGAGGTTGGATGGAGAGAGTTTTTGAACACCATGTTTTACTCCTTTCCAGATATTCTTGATAGGATTCAGGTCTGGACTTTGACTAGGCCATTCTAACACCTGGATATATTTATTTGTGAACCATTCCATTGTAGATGTTGCTTTCTGTTTTGGATCATTCTCTTGTTAAATATCCATCCCAGTCTCAGGTCCTTTGCAGACTCCAAAAGTTTTTCTTTCAGAATTGTCCTGTATTTGGCTCTTCACATAAATTTTAACCACCTTCCCTGAACTTGAAGAAAAGCAGGCCCAAACCATGATGCTGCCACCACCATGCTTGATAGTGGGGGTGGTGTGTTCAGGGTGATGCTAAGCAGAGCAGCTTCTTCCACATGTTTGCTGTGTCTCCCAGGCGGCTTGTGGAAACTTTTGAACGAAAATTCTTATGGATATCTTTAGGAAATGGCTTTCTTCCATAAAGGCCAGATTTCTCCAGTATACGACTAACTGATTCTCTCCTCAGCTCCAGAGTGACCATAGGCCCCTTGGCTGCATCTCTGATCAGTCTTCTCCTTGTTTGAGCTGAAACTTTAGAGGGATGGCCTGGTCCCTCTGTCACAGTGGTCTGATAGTCCTTCCATTCCAATATTATCTTCTTCAGAGGTCCTTGGGATGTTTAGGGCTTGGGAAATCTTTGTGTATCCAAATTCAGCTTTGAAATTCTCCTCAGCATTTTCTCTGACCTGTGTGGTGAGTTCCTTGTTCTCCATGATGCTATCACACTGAGACTATCACAGAGCAGGTGCATTTATATGGAGACTTTATACATTTCTTTCCACTTTGTGATTGTGTCCCATTTGCTGTTGATTCTTCACAAAGACTTACAATGTTGTACATTAATGTTTGAAGCCTAAATTCTGGCAAAAGGTTGTTTGTAAGTCTCTGTATATTTCAATGCTGTCAGATCAAATTTATTGTGTGCATTGATAATTGTTGGATTAAATGAAACTTAATTTATTTAAATGTTACCAGAGACTATGGAAGACACATCTATCTGTTGCTGATCTAATGGACAGTTTTCAGTGAAACATACCAGTGGAGCTAATTAACTGAACATAATCAAAGACTTTACCTCAAGGACTTATTTTATGCTTACTGATTTTTCATGTATTCTGTGTTTATTTCAGTAGTTTGTAATGATCATGGAGTTTATTACACATAATAAGAGAGTGATAGAGAATACTATGTTTAATAAAAATGCCCCATTATTTTAATTGTGGTTATTTTACAACAGTGGCCGAATCAACTTCCTTTGACTTAAAAGAGACGGATATTTTCCTGGTAGTTGATGATTAATAACTCTGCTTGAATTATAATCAAGGTTAATGACATTTACTTGGATTTTAATAGCCGGTGTAAATGTCCAGCCACCAAGGTAAGCATGTTAATAACACCTTGTGTTTGACAAATATCAGTCATAATCCTCAGACCAACAGTTATTGCTTAACGTAGATCAGAAGATAAATGTATTCAGGGTAAACCGGTAAAACTGCATAATGCAGAATATATATTTCAACATCAGTCTAACTCATATGTGCCGCTGAAACAATCATTAACACATCAAACATAACCTTAACAGAAAGCTAAAGGAGGGAGCAGCAATGCATGCGCTACAGATAATCTCAAAGCAATGCTGCTGCGTTAACGAATGAATCAGTGAAATCATACACATATTGATCGATAATGATACAAAAAAAAGAATAACGGCCAAAAATATCATCCAGTTAATGTATCGTCTCCAACTTAGCTCCGTCAATAGAGTAGTTCACTGGCTGAACCATTTCTAAATGTTTAACGTTACATCTAATCGGAAGAAATGTTAAATGAAGTTAAAATAACATTTAATCCATCTTTGCAATTTGTGTGAAAAACTTTAGACTCAACTTTAAAAATATGCACAAAACAGGAAACTAAAAGCCGACAGTCTGATAGTCTTAGTATATCTTACAGCTTTTATTGCTCAATGACGCTCAGAGAGAGTCAATTCAGACACTAATCCGTTTATCTCTTTATACATTTGCTTGAACACAGCCTGTAACTCATTGGCAGGAATAAAAACCAATAAAGGTTTTCTTAAACCTTCAGGCTTTGAATTCTTCAGACTATCACTACAAACAACACTCTGCAGCACAGTCGTTTCAAACTGCTGCAACTGGTAACTTATTAGTAAACTTGTTAGTAAAATTATTAGTAAAATATTATAAGATATTTACATAAGATTATCATAAGAATAACAATTAACTAGAACAAAGAACTAATTTCCTCAGCAGAGGTGTAAAAGAAATAAAGAAAAGTCAAAGATCAAGAGTGAGAAAGCAAAAAAAAATCAGATACCAAGAGGATAAGACAGGAGTTTGACTTGGAATACAAAATAAAGGCTTGAATTCATGAGGTTGAAGGTAAAGCCTGGGATGTTTGCATGTTGATGGATGGCGTACAGCGAAGTCTGCTGATTTCAGACACAAGAAGGACTAAATAAACCCTATTAGTAGGAAGGCTTGGGGTATACTGTTTAATTTAAGATGAACATTTGGCTTTTGGCATGATTTCTTTAAAACAATTTACTTTCCAAAAATGCTGGAGCTGTAAAAAAACTTCATTAGAGGTACAAAGGTACCTCAAAGGTACAAACATTAGACTTGAGAGGAAAGGAAAATAACACGTGTTAACGCCAAACCTGGACCGAGCATCATGACAACTTTAAATAAACTTTGATTCAACCATAACAGTATCCCTCCCACCTCTGAGGCACCGGTGGCCTTTATCTGATATTAGAGGGACAGAAAAGGAAGGAAAGGCGTGTATTTAAGATCCTGGGTCAGCATTAGAAACCAGGACAGAAAAGCCTGAGGCCACCTGTCAGCACCGCCACGCCCCACAGGGACTGCTTGTGTCCACACAACATGGACGACACTTGAACCTTGCACCTTTTCCAGTCTGATATTCCACATAATTCAATCAGTGCATTTTGTCCACAGATATTTAGATTGAATGAAATAGATGCTTTCACTAGTGCTGCAATACATCCAGTAAATTCCCCACCTGTAGTTCAAGGAGGAAGGACTTTGTTTGATAAAATCCCTGGTTAATATTATATCTGACCTCATAAGACTCCTCGTCTCCTGCCACCATGCCAACAGTCTTGATGAAGGGGTGCCCAGGGTTGTCCACACCTGTCTGGATGGCCTGGTCCAGGGTGAACCCGTTGGGTGTGGTCTTATCACACAGCTTGGCGTAGATGGCAGGTGTCAGGTTACTGGCCATGCAGTTGTTGTGTTTGCGCAGGTCAGGGTAATCCGCACTGTGCAAATAGAAAAACCAGATAAAGCAGCAGCATTGATGCTTTTAATGGTCAACAGCAGTGCAGAAACATGAGTCACTAAAAGAAGCGGAAATCTAGCCTGTTGAAAAACACAAAACTGTGAATAACTCAATGTCATTTTCTTTATTTAATAAATTAAGATATGAAGTAAAAAAAAAAAAGAGATCAACTTGATTACTGCAGCCAAAAAGTAAAATAAATGTCAAATACATGCTTTATGCATCAATAGACTAAGTTTGGGACCAGCATGATACCACTTTTTTTTTTTTTTTTTACCCAATCTGACATAAATGCCCGTCTAGCATCAAACCCCAAACTGCTTTAAAACACTAATCCAAGTGCTTTTTGTGTCTCTAACATTTCCAGGATTAAAGGACTAATGTCTCAGCATGATCTGGAAAACTAATCCATGCGTTTATTTTTAGTCAAATTGATTACTGCAACGGTGTTTTCACAGGTCTGCCTAAAAAGGGGATCAGACAGCTGCAGCTGATCCAGAACGCTGCTGCCCGTGTCCTCACTAAGACTAAGAAAGTAGAGCACATCACCCCAGTTCTAAAGTCCTTCCACTGGCTCCCTGTATCTCAGAGAATAGACTTTAAAATACTTCTGTTAGTCTATAAATCTCTGAATGGCTTAGCACCTAAATACATCACAGACTTGCTATCAGTGTATCAACCCTCCAGACGACTCAGGTCTTCTGGCTCCAGCCTGCTCTGCATACCTAGAACCAGAACTAAACATGGAGAAGCAGCATTTAGTTGCTATGCTCCACTTATCCCAAAGTTGCTATATTCCACTTATCCCAAAGGAGTAAATCATGATAATCTAATTAAAATCAAAATAACTCCAATTGGGGAAAAAGTTAAAACAATTAAATGCGGTCTGTTTAACATAAGATCGCTTTCCTCTAAAAGTCTACTAGTTAATGACTTGATTTGTGATAATCACATTGACTTGTTTTGCCTTACAGAAACCTGGCTGCAGCAAGAGGATTATGTGAGCATAAATGAGGCAACTCCTTCAAGCTATTTAAATTTTCACATCCCCAGAAGTTCTGGGCGAGGAGGAGGAGTAGCAACAATCTTCCAGTCTGACTTACTGATTACTCCCAAAACAATTAATACCTACAACTCTTTTGAACATTTAACCCTTAATTTCCCTGATCCAAATTTCAAGGCAAGAAAACCTCTTCTTTTTGTAACTTTGTATCGTCCACCAGGTCCTTACTCTGAATTTTTAGATGAGTTTTCAGAGTTCCTTTCTGATTTGGTATTAAATACTGACAGGGTCATCATAGTGGGAGATTTTAACATCCATGCTGACATTGAAGGCGATAGCTTAAGAGCAGCCTTTAATGCTATCTTAGACACTATTGGCTTTGTTCAAAATGTGAATAGTCCCACGCATTCTCATCTTCATACTTTGGATCTTGTGCTGACATACGGCATAGAATGTGAAGAAATAACAGTATTTCCTCACAACCCTGTCCTCTCTGACCACTTTCTAATAACCTTCAGGATTACTTTAACAGAGTTCTCCTCCCCCAAAAGAAGGTTCAATTTTAGTAGATCTTTATCAGATAGTGCAGTTATAAATTTTAAAGAATCTGCTTCACTTTCTCTCTGCTCTGTGTCACTGAGCAGTGCTGCAGAGTGCAAAAGCTTAGCTTATTCCCCTTCACAGGTTGATGATTTTGTTGATGGGGTTGCTAGTTCTCTGCGTATTGCCTTAGACAACGCAGCTCCTTTGAAAATGAAAACCGTTAAAAATAGAAAGCTTGCTCCTTGGTTTAATGCAGAGCTGCGTACTTTGACGCAAAATGCTAGGAAACTGGAGAGAAAATATCGCTCCACAGGCCTGCGAGAGTCCTTCCTAGTCTGGAAAAATGGTTTACTGCTGTATAAGAGGACCCTTTGTAAAGCAAGAGCAGCATACTTCTCCTCATTAATAGAGGAGAATAAGAATAATCCTAGATTTCTTTTTAATACAGTTGCCAAACTCACCCAGAGCCATAGCTCTGTTGAACCGTCCATTCCACCTGCTCTTAGCAGCAATGATTTTATGGGATTCTTTATAAATAAGATTGATCTTATTAAAAATAAGATCATAAGCACTCCTCTATCCGCGATTGTACCTGAGGTAGTCATGGAATCTGAACCGGGTTTAGACTGCTTTGATCCAGTTGAACTCTCTGAATTAGCAAAATTATTGTCTTCATCTAAGCCTTCAACTTGTATGTTAGATCCAGTTCCAACCAGGTTATTTAAGGAGGTATTCCCTTTGATCTCCTCCTCCATTTTAGATGTGATTAATCTATCTCTGTTACAGGGATATGTACCTAAAGCTTTTAAGATTGCTGTAATTAAACCTCTGCTTAAGAAACCGTCTCTTGACCCAGATGACTTGGTCAATTATAGACCTATATCCAATCTTCCTTTCTTATCCAAAATTCTTGAGAAAGTAGTTGCCAAACAAGTTTGCGATCACTTCCACCATAATGAACTTTTTGAAGAGTTTCAGTCTGGCTTTAGAGCTCATCATAGCACTGAAACAGCTCTGGTGAAAGTCACTAATGATATTCTCATGGCCTCAGATAATGGACTTGTATCTGTGCTCGTCCTGTTGGATCTTAGTGCTGCATTTGATACAGTTGACCATAATATTCTTTTAGAAAGACTTGAATATTTTGTTGGAATTAAAGGAACAGCACTAGACTGGTTTAAATCTTATCTATCTGATCGAATTCAGTTTGTTCATGTTAATGATAGATCTTCAACACGCTCAAAGGTTACCTGTGGAGTACCACAGGGATCAGTGCTAGGACCAATTCTCTTTACTTTATACATGCTCCCAATTGGTAGAATTATTAGACAGCATGGGATTAATTTCCACTGTTATGCTGATGATACCCAGCTATATCTGTCTATAAATCCAGATGAAGCTAACCCATTACATAGATTACAGGCATGTCTTGAAGACATAAAAACCTGGATGACTCTTAACTTTCTGCTTCTGAATGCAGACAAAACAGAAGTTATAGTCTTTGGACCAGAGTCTCTGAAAAAGAAACTGATTAGCCAGTCACTTCATTTGGATGGGATTAAACTGATTTCAGATAATAAAGTAAAAAATCTTGGTGTTATTTTTGATCAGGACCTGTCATTTAAATCCCATATCAAAGAGGTTTCTAGAATTTCCTTCTTTCATCTGAGGAACATTGCAAAAATTAGAAATATCCTGTCCAGGGGTGATGCTGAGAAACTAGTCCATGCATTTGTTACTTCAAGGCTGGACTATTGTAATTCTTTACTATCAGGAAGTCCACAAACTGTAGTTAAAAGCCTTCAGCTGATCCAAAATGCTGCAGCCAGAGTTCTAATGAAAATAAAAAAGAGATCATATCTCTCCTATCCTGGCTTCTCTTCATTGGCTTCCTGTTAAATCAAGAATAGAATTTAAAATCCTTCTTCTCACATATAAAGCCTTAAATGGCCAAGCTCCATCTTATATCAGAGATCTGATTGTTCCTTATGTTCCTAACAGAGCACTTCGCTCTCAATCTGCAGGTTTACTAGTGGTTCCTAGAATTTCTAAAAGTAGAATGGGAGGCAGATCTTTTAGTTATCAGGCTCCTCTCCTGTGGAACCAACTACCAGTTTTAGTCCGTGAGGCAGACACCCTGTCTACTTTTAAGGCTAGGCTTAAAACTTTCATTTTTGATAAAGCTTATAGTTAGGGTGGCTCAGGTTATCCTGAGCTATCTCTATAGTTATGCTGCTATAGGCTTAGACTTTTGGAGGACATAGGGACCCCCATTTCATCATTCTGCTTCATTCTCTCTCTGTTCTCCTATTCTGCAGAATCTGTTAGTTCAATCTCTAACCTTCTGCTCTCTCTGCTTTTCCTCAGAGTAGCTTTGCCTCGTCTGTTCCTGTTTGGTTGTGACGTCATCCTGGAAAAAAAACATCAGCTGTGCTGCTTCTATCAACACCCTTGTTAATAGATGTTGGAGATCGGCCTGTTTTCCAGTGTGGTCCTGTTTCTCTGACCGTGACTGAGTGGATGTGCTCTCTTCGTCCTCTGGCATGGGAGCTGCCTTGGAGCTCGTCTGCCTGGCTGTGTGTTTCCTGGACGGGGCCGCCTTTTACAGCTGCTTTTTGTATCTTTGCTTCTGTCTCCTTGAACCCCAGTCGGCCTCAGCAGATGGCCGCTCACACTGAGCCTGGTTCTGCTGGAGGTTTCTTCCTGTTAAAAGGGAGTTTTTCCTCTCCACTGTCGCTACAAGCATGCTTAGTGTGGGGGATTGTATTTGAGTCAATGAGTCAATGCAATCAACTGGTTTTCCTTAGATAGAAAACTTTGTATCAATTTGACTGTATGATCTGGTTGAACTGTAAAGTGCCTTGAGATGACATGTGTTGTGAATTTGGCGCTATATAAATAAACTGAATTGAATTGAATTATCAGGAACAAACTTCCAGAAAACTGTAAAAGTGCGGAAAGCCTGAGTTCCTTTAAATCAAGACTAAAAACACATTTGTTTAGGATTGCCTTCCACTGTTCTAGTTAAACAGTTTAACTAAAACATCATTAGTTCAACTTTTTTGTTTTCTTTAGTCCAACTGTTTTTAATGTTCTTTTTTGTTTCTGTATTTTTTATTTTATTTTTTTCCTACTTGCTTTGATTCTGTTTTATTTTCCTATATTTTAATCATGTAAAGCACTTTGCATTGTCTTTGTACTGAATTGTGCTATACAAATAAATTTGCCTTGCCTTGCCTTGCCTCTAATAGAAAGAAAAAGATCTTCAGTTGGTTAAAGGTCGATGTTAGACTAAGTCATATTAAAATAATCAAATATCTGCTGTAAAACCTCAGCTACAAACTGTCTAACTTAAAGGTGAACCTGATTCTCACTTTCAATTTAATTACTAAAACACACTTTTGCAAAAAAAAGAGGAAAAAAATGAAAAGAATTTATTTTTTGCTCGTTTAACTGT